GAAATATTGTTGCTACTTTAGATTCTCGATTGATAAGAAAAAACCATATATGCCGGGAATACTCATCAACAATAATTAAATAGAATCGGTTTCCATCATAAGAAGGGATAGATGCAGGACCCCAGACATCTGAATGCAGTGTATACAGAAAAGAGGTAGCATATGATTTTCTAGATTCAAATAGTAACTTTGTTGATTTTCCCAAAACATAGCTTTCACAGAAAATATTTTGTTTATCTATAGATGGTAAACATAAATTTTTGAGAATTCTAGCTTAAGGATGGCCAAGTCGTGCATGTCATAGTTGCTGGACACTTTATTTGCTAAAAAACTAACTAGAAGTGTGGAGAATTACTGTAGATTGATTGGATATAACTCATCCTTCATGAAACCTTTAAGAATTACCTGCTTCGTCTTCATGTCCTTAAGAAAAAAATCTTATGGATAAAATAGAAAACAGTAGTTATTGTCTCTTATAAATTGAGATACAGATAATAGTTTCTTCTTAATTGTAGGAACCACAAGAACATCATTTAGCTTGAGATTGGTAGTGGAAATAGTAACGTGTCCAATACCAGTGATAGGCAAGCCCTGACCATTGTCGACCATAACAGAGTCATTTCCAAGATAAGAGATAATACCTTGGACTTCATTTATGTTAGACGTTGATTAGTACTTAAAAGTGCATTTTTATTAAGGTTTTATTTCATCATTTTGCACTCGAAGTATCAATAACTCCTTAACTAAAGCATGTTTTATAATAACGTATCTAATAATATAAGATACCTTTAATTTGTGGTAAATGTTCATTTTAAATGCAGGCCTATCTCATAAATGAAAGGATTGATTGATGAATTTAAGAACTGAAATTGAAAGGATAAAGAGATGGCCAAACTCAGAAAAGAGATGTCGGTGCAATCCAAACTGGAACACTGTTCGGTAATTGGGTCATATCTGGAGCTATAGATCTCATATTTAGGTCTACTTTATATGGATGGAAAGGTAATACATAGGCCTACAACTTTCATATGGAGCCCAAGATCTAAAAAGGCCATTTTCAAGTCCAAATTATTGCAACAACAAAGAAGCTCGAATCTGTCCTCCAGCCCAAGCACTATTCAGTATTTTGACCATATCTGGAGTTCTAGAAGTCAAAATGAGTTGAATGTTTTACACAAGAAAGCTAAGACAATTGCCTACAACTTTCATGTTTTCAAATGGCTCCAATTTTGACGTTATCAATGACGTTTTGGGCAGACGAGAGAAGATAAGGATTGTCACCAAGTCAAGAGTTGGCCACCCACTCATCAATTAGTCATCAAATCAATAGTTCTCAATTTTAGCCTATAAAAGGAGGCATTTGCCATGCATTTAGGCATCTTGGTGTCCAGATCAAGATCATGCTCTTGCTTTCTCTCTTTGTATTTTTTGTAATGTTTATGCTTTGCTTTCATTAATATCAAGTTTATGCCTTTCATTTCCTTTTCTTTACTTAGTTAACTTTTATGTTCTTATTTTGTTTGTTAACTTTTATCTTATTTACGTTCTTATTTTGTTTATTTATTTTTCTTTCTTTCATTATGTCCAGCTAAGTTTATTATGTCAAGGTGAAAAGGTTACACTAATGGTGTAAGAATAAGTATAGTATAAATTTAATATGGACTTTAATGTTTGATACTAACATGTTTTATTTAATATGGATTTTAATGTTTAATACTAACATGTTTTATATTTGTTATCTTGTTCACTCTTTAATACTTTGCTTGTTAAATGACTAATCTTGATTTATGTTGTATAACACTTGGTACAACAAATGCTTGGCACTTTCATAGCCCATAGTGTATGGTATAACCGACACCTGAGCTATGAAAGGAACTTGATTTGTTGTTAACATAAGTTATAATCATGAATGCTTGACGAGATTTATAAGTACTAGCATTAATCGAATAAGATGAATAGTGTAATCATGTTAACAATCTATAATCTGATTGGAACCTCCTTTTGTGTGGTTTCCAATTGAATAATAAGCGTTTATACTATACTTGTTTGACATACCATTAGTGGAACCTCTAACCTTGACATTTGTTATTATCATTGTTTAATCCTTACACTAATATTCCATCTCCAAGTTCTCATCTTCTTTTTCTTCTCCTTCTCTTTCTTTATTATTATTATTATTATTATTATTATTATTATTATTACTACTACTACTACTACTACTACTACTACTA